CAGGAACCAGAAACCTGGAATATAATCCAGTTTACAGTCCAGGGGGACCGGACCACGAGGAGACTGGTCAGACTGGTGAGCTCAGCTCAGATCCTGTGTTAACACCTGAAACTGAACACACACACACACACACACACACACACACACACACACACACACACACACACACACACACACACACACACACTCTCTAGGTCAATAAAGTTGTGGTCCTATCGAGTCTTCACATGCAATCAGAAGACAGCTAGCTGTTCAGACAGCCTCATGACTCATTAAAGTGTTCATTTGTGTCTGTGTGGACCGGACCGTCTGGTTGGGTCAGAACCTTCCTGGGTGCAGGAACTACCGGTGAACAGTCTCTTCTTTGTTCTAGTACTGGGGAACAACAGAACCAGGTTCTGAGGCTGTGAATGGGCAGCATGGTGGAGCCCATGGTAGCACTGGTGACTTGCAGCAAAAAGGTTGCAGGTGCTATCAGAGTGGGTGGCCCTAGCAGGGAGTGGGCGGTCCTATCAGAGAGTTCCACCAGGGAGTGGGCGGTTCCATTAGAAAGTGGGCGGTTCCAGTGGGTGGTTCTGTAACGGAATGAAAGTCATTCCCCTCTCCTCTGACACAGAACTAGTTTGCACGAGATAAGGCCTCGAGGTCTCACGCATCTGCTCTAACCTGCTTCTTTCTAGCCCAACAGAAGAATGAAGACAAAGAACTCTATTTTTAATAAAGCTAATCAAACAAAGTGTTAGTCAATAATAAGATGTGACCAATCTGTGAAATGACAATATTAATTACTTTATTATAATCCTATAGAATATAATAAGTAATATGACTTTAAATGTTTCCACTAGGACTGATCTCACGTAGCGTTAAGACATGACACATTGCTTTTACTGATCCAATCAGAATCTGCCAGATCTGACGGAGGCGTGGTTTTGGTGGCATTTGGTAAACCTGTCATCTTTTCATTCGACCATAAACCAAAACATCCGAAGTATAAAACTATGCCCACGTCATCTTTAACGCCAGTTCAAAGCGTTCTAGAGAAGTTGAAGGAGTGGCCGATCCGTAACTTTCCTCTTCAGCTGAAAGAACCAACGACAAGCTGGATAAAACCTGTTGCTGTTCCACCTGCTGCAACGGTTCCTTTCAGAATAAAAGCTGAACCATCACCACCCAGCTTTGGGTCTTGTTAGATGCCGATAAACTGTCGTGACCCGGAAGTATCTCAAGACTGGACTGGTCGGCTACCGCGGCTGTTCTACAAGCTTCGGCTCCAAAAGGTCCAAGCTGGACCTCTACACCTCCTGATCTAGACGGGGACTTCCGCTCAGGGTACGTAGACTGACAGAATGACATCTCAATGTGTGTTTATGCATCTCCAAATCAAAGCTTAGCGCGAAGACATCACCTTCACTTCCCACCAGAACTAATCGTTTCTTCGGATTTGCTGGTTCTGAACAACATTCCACACTACACCATTCTCCGTCTCACTCCCCTTAGTTACACCATACATGTAGTGTTAAAGTTAGTCTAGTTTTAATTTGTTTAGTAATAAATCTTTAAACTTTTAAAACTTGACTCTCTTCTGTTGTCTCTGAGTGAATACGAAGTGTTACATAATCCCTGCAATAAAAAGTTCCAATCTTCTGGTTAAAAGTACCCACAGATCCATAAGGTTGATTTCATATTATGGAATCTTATGGTTCATTAAATATGTAAATTAAACCATTACAGTCCCATCAGGGAGTGGGCGGTTCCACCAGTGGGTCATCTCACCAGAGTGGGCAGTTCCACTAGAAAGTGGGCGGTTCCATTGGCGCGTTGGTGGTTCCATCAGAGTGGGCGGTTCAGTCACAGGTGTTTGGTTTGGAGGTCTGATAACTGGGCACTATACTGACTAGTCCATCAGTTTCTTCTGTGAAAGTCTACAGACTGATGCACACATGTGCAGTTTTACATCTGGAGCAGCTGAGATTTGTCCTGTAGCCCTAAAAATGGCTCAGAGTACACGTCTAACCTCATTTGTTGTAAAACTAAAAACAAAATCCAAAACAACACTGGTGAGGACTAAAGGACAGAACTCCGCAAGTCTTGTAAAAGTGATTTATTGAAGACACATTGAGCTTTATTAAAATCTGTTTACGGCTAGCAGATATGTTACATCACATGTCCCCATGTTCTTTTGAAACAAGTAGTTTCAGTTAAAACCTCACACAAACATCCGTCTTCCAGCCAGAGACCGTCCGTGTCTCGTCTTCGATAAAAAGACCCAACAGAATCTAATCACACTAAAACATGGTCCTCCTGATTGTCCTTAGGAGACATCCCCGTCTCCATCCGTCCATCATCAGCCTCGTCCTCAGCCCTCCAGCTGCCACTGCTGTGTCCGAGATCCGTCGCATATCGCCATGGAGACGTAACCCTTTTGTCCAATTGGCTGGGAGATGGTGAGACACTGACCCACTGAGACCTGGTAGAGACGGTTGGACTTCTGCAAAAGACAACCATCACATGACACTGTGTGTGTGTGTGTGTGTGTGTGTGTGTGTGTGTGTGTGTGTGTGTGTGTGTGTGTGTGTGTGTGTGTGTGTGTGTGTTGCTCACCCCCAGGCTCCACTGCTGTGACCCCCCTGAGCCGTGACACTTCATCAGTCTGGGGGGTTCTGAGGTCCTGACCTCTGAGACGTCCAGACAGAGCAGACCTGCGAGGACGAGCTGGCCGTCCTCATCGTAAGCCCAATCCTGCACACAAGTCAGGTGACACGGTTCAGGGTCACATGGTGCATTCAGGGTCAGACTGAAGGCTGTTTTGGTTGGAGCCTGGTGCACACAGCGAGGTATCAGGCCTTGAAGAACCGTTAGCTCAGCAGATATCTCGCTGTGTGCACCTTTTTTTCTGCCTCACCGGTAAAAATCAAACCGGTTTGATATTTCCCGCCTCACGGGGGTAGAAACTCACAGTGTACTCACTAAGTGAGCTGCCAGTTGAGCTGAAATATTCTAGTGGCCAATCAAAGCGCGTTGTCTGCTCACGATTCCAAGATGGCAGCCTCCTGTCTGCATGTCAGAAAATAAAGGAATGGGCCCTCGGTTCCACCACCCTCTCTAAGGATCCGCGCGGCGGTGCGGTCGGAAGCATTCTGGGTCTTTGGAGTAGGTTGGCATAAACTCCTTGCCCGGCCCTTCTTTGCCTCCGTACCTGTACTCTCCTAACTTTGAAATTGCGGCGGCGGCGACGCCTCAGTCAACAAAACAAGTAGCGGCACTTCCTTGTTTTCCAGCTCTCTCCCTTTTTGAACATCTTAGGTGTGTTCTTGCTGTGTCTTTGTAAATCCATGCTTTCGTTCTTTTTTAAACACAGAAACAGTTTTGTTTACCTGTTTGTAGCTACGGTTTCGCCGACAGCTGTCGGCTTCAGCGTCAGCCTGAAGAAGCCGGCAGCTGTCGGCGAAGCCGTAGCTACAAACAGGTAAACAAAACTGTTTCTGTGTTTAAAAAAGAACGAAAGCATGCGGTCTCTCCCTTTTGTTTGTTTTCTGACATGCAGACAGGAGGCTGCCATCTTGGAATCATGTGAGCGGAGAACGCGCTTTGATTGGCCACTAGAATATTTCAGCTGAGCCGGCAGTCCACGTAGCGCACGCGGCGAGTTTCTACCCCCGTGAGGCGGTCAGATATCTGCCTCAGCGTCTCCTGAGGCAGGAAACTCCGTGACAAACAGGCGCACTGCGAGCTGTCTGCCGAGCTAACAGGCATCCCAGGCTGGTTGCTCAGCAGCTTGCGCTCATGTGCGGCAGGCTTCAGGTTGTGTGGTGTGTTCAGGTGTGTGTTCACATGAAATGACCTGCTCTGGGTCTTGGGGGTCACATGGTCTCAGGATAACTGCCCCTCCTTTCTGGCTCACGCGACCCTGGGCCACTAGACAACGCCCTGTTGCTAGGTTATGAAGCTAAAAGATGGCAGACACAGAGGATGAGAGGGTGAAGGGAGCTGATGTTGTGATGAAGTGAAGACTGCGTTCATGTACCCTTCCTCGCTGTAAGACTTTGGGCCGTTTCAGGCCCCTGTTGATGAAAAGAGGATGCTGCTTGTTGCCGTTAGCGACAGCCTGCATCTCGGGGTACACCGTGTCCAGATACCATCGGAAGGAATGACACTGTAGACGCTTCCTCAGCGCCACGCGGTCACTGATGTCCCCGTAACCACGGTCACGGAGCTCTGGGCGCAGGGACAGGTACTGTTCCTGATTAGATGACAAACAGGAAGTGAGGTGAGGTGACGCTTCCACAACAGCTTGTGTGTGTGTGTGTGTGTGTGTGTGTGTGTGTGTGTGTGTACCTTGTACTCATCCATCCACACATGTGCCAGGCGCAGAGAGTTGTGGGCCATGGTGTCCTGCCCGCCTGGAGATCCGTACGGACGGCGCTTTCTGAAGATGTGGCCGACTCTGGAACACGGAATGATGAGAAGCTGACCCCCACACATCCAGATCTGAGGAGACAGGACAGGTCGCTGAAGGACAAGCCAGAGTCCACCCCGGTCAATCTAAAAGACTGGGCAGATCCTGGATCAGTGGACCCAATGATGCCTTCACTGACTCTGAAGGAGATCTCCAGGTTCTCTCCTCCCCAGATGTCCATCCCAGCATCGTATTGGCCGAGCTCGTCAAAAAACTTCCTGTTCATCGCAAATAATCCACCAGCCATGGTGGGAGACCTGGGGGGCGTGACAGGGTGAGACTGAGGGGGTCCTTCTACACTGATGAATCTCCTTATCATTAACAGAACTGAATCAGGTGTAGATGGGTCTCGGATTGGTCGGATGATCAGGGGACTGCCGTACCTGATTGGTCCAGAGGGTCCCTGCGGCCCGTTGAGGTCCGAGGATGGGACGGGGTCCCATTTGAAGTGTAACCCCCAGTTGAAGCCCCCTCTGACGATGGGGGAGGGGGAGTAGGCCAGTGTGTCGGCAGAAATGATGTCGATGACGGGGCAGACGACAGTACGGTGGTCCTTCAGTATCGGAGCCAGCAGAGGCTGCAGCCAGGCCTGGTTCACCTCACAGTGGCTATCCAAGAAGACTAGCACCTCACCTGCAGACAAACAGGTGGGTCCTGGATTACCTGGGGGCACAGCAGGACTTTTGAGAGGAAATTCTGAGGAAGTAGCTACCTGTGGCATGAGAGGCTCCTATCATGCGTCCTCGGATAAGCCCTTCTCTCTTCTGGTTCCTCACCAATTTGACCTTGGTCTGAAGCTCCTCCCTGACGTACCGGTCCAGGTCTTCCTTCAGCTCCTCTGCAGCAACACACAGACAGGATTCAGACTCAGGTAATCTCCACCTGCAAGTGTTTACGGTTGGGTTCGTTACCAAGCTCGCTGTGGTCATCTACCAGGATGATCTCGTGAAGCAAGTAGGCCGGAGTCCGGTCCAGCACGCTGTGGACGGTCCTGAGCAAGGCAGACAACGCCTCATTGAAGAAGCAGATCACTACGCTGGCAGAGGGCAGAGCCAGAGGATAGGACCTCTGACGACACCTGAGACAGAGGGAGTGGACCATCAAGTGGACACGTATAAAGCCTGACCTGTGTCAAGGTCCTGGTCTACAGCAAACCTGCAGGTCTTACTGGTGGTCTCTAGTATCAGGCAGGTCCCTGTGGTAGCCCAACCTGTTGGAGATCAGGACGTTAAAGGCGTGTCGATGGTAGCCAGAATCCCTGACCTCCTGGTCCGCTTCGTTAAAGATCATCCCTGTAGACAGAAGCAGAACCTTCTGGATCTCACCCAACATTGTAGGTCCTGGATGTGTCCCTGACCCTAACCAGGATCAGGAGGGCGGGTGCAGAGCGCACCTCCAACACTCACCCATCTCTGGCGACAGCTCCACCCCCTTATTGGCTGATGGAGGGTGACGCCCCTTACTGAGGCCATTGCTGATTGGCTGGTTGTGGTGCGGCACTGGGATCCTGCCAGGCTCTGACCCCAGAGAGAAGTAGAGGAAGAGGAGGATGGACCAGGTTGCCGAGGTAACAAGGCAACCATAACAGAAGTACCGCAGCGTGACACTGGGCATGGTGGCTGAGGGAGCATTGCCTCACATCTCACCTATGGTGGGGGCAGGGAGAAGTCAGGTAACTGGTTTGTCCACTTGTGGGTTGAACACCTAACTGGTGACACGTGATAAACGGGTAGAAGTCAGCACCCACCACTGGCCAAACGCAGGTCCATTTATGAGGTGGCGTGTAAATTTGAAACAAAACAAGTCCCCACGGCTTGTTAAAAAAGGTGGTTTGCACTCCTGACGTGTGGGGGGCAGCGATGCACCTGGGCTCCTGCTAGTGTTCTCTAAAGGCCACCATCAGAAGACAGAGGAACATTTACAGTCGTTTTCATAATGTGGCGCTACGTCTGTGGAGTAAACGTGAGCGGCACGAAACAAAAACTAGGGGCGGCATGACTTCATTTTTTTTAAAGTCGACAGTCAAGTAATGAAAATCGAGTAGACTTTACTAGTCGATGACGTCATGCACCTGAAGCAGCGGGGGGTTCGCTGGAGTTTTTGACAATTAAAATTGCGTCCACATTTTCAAAGGTAAACATCTCTTAACAACGGTAGTTCCTGCATCTATACTGCTCTGCTTCAGACCTCCCCCCCTCCCCCTCCCCCTGCTTCAGCCCCCTCCCCCTGCTTCAGCCCTCCCCCCTCCCCCTGCTTCAGCCCCCTCCCCCCCCTGCTTCAGCCCTCCCCCCTCCCCCTGCTTCAGCCCTCCCCCCTCCCCCTGCCTCAGCCCTCTCCCCCCCTCCCCCTGCTTCAGCCCTCTCCCCCCCCCCTGCTTCAGCCCTCCCCCTGCTTCAGCCCCCTCCCCCCCTCCCCCTGCTTCAGCCCTCCCCCCTCCCCCTGCTTCAGCCCTCTCCCCCCTCCCCCTGCTTCAGCCCTCTCCCCCCTCCCCCTGCTTCAGCCCCCTCCCCCTGCTTCAGCCCTCTCCCCCCTCCCCCTGCTTCAGCCCTCTCCCCCCTCCCCCTGCTTCAGCCCCCTCCCCCTGCTTCAGCCCTCCCCCCTCCCCCTGCTTCAGCCCTCTCCCCCCTCCCCCTGCCTCAGCCCTCTCCCCCCCTCCCCCTGCTTCAGCCCTCTCCCCCCCTCCCCCTGCTTCAGCCCTCTCCCCCCTCCCCCTGCGCAGCGGCCACAAACTCACTGATGCGCCTGCAGCCTCTCGGAGTTCCTGCTGCTCTAAACATTAAAATAATTATTTCATTTTCTGTTCCTCACTTCTGATTACCTTCAATGGTGTCTGTTTGTTGCAACCAGCAGGTACAAAAACTAACTTGTTTTATTTGACAGAAAGACAAAAAGGATTTGTGGTCCCTTTAGACAGAAAAACATAAAAGGGAACGATCGCGTGTTAAATTAGTTTTTGAGGTGGCTTGAGGTGGTTTCTGATTTGATCATGTTACTGTGGCCGTGCTCAGGACGCAGATGTCTGGAGCACGTCAGCGATCAGAGCTTTGCATGCGCAAGCTGGTTAAGGTTAGGATGGGGGTGAGGGGAAGGTTAAATTGCAAGAGGGTAAAGGTCACAATTTGGTTAAATGTCCGTTTTACGGCGGGTGTCGGTACCGACGCGTCGGTGTCTGACACGCAGGAGCTTGTCACCTGCTGACTAGGGCTGCAACAACGAATCGATAAATTCGATGAAAATCGATTACTAAAAGCGTTGGCAACGAATTGCGTCATCGATTCGTTGTGTCGCACAACTCTTCCAAAAGCGCCCCCCCTTCCCGCCCGCCGTTGCGCGCAGACAGATCAGCGCGAAGGAGAGCCGGCAGTTGTTTGGAAGAGGAACATGGCAGAAGCAGCGAGAGTCAAAAAAGTAAAAACTTTTTAAGTTTGGGAGCATTTTCAGTTAAATCAGGCGAAGACATTCGTTACCTGCAACGTTTAGGTCAGACTTGGCATGGCACGGGATGATGCAGCGTCTTAAACACAAGCATGTCGGGATCATCAGCGAGGAAGGAGAGAACTCTGTGTCCGGGTAAATTAAAAACTTTTCAAAAGTGATTCATCCAAGTCCCGGATTATTACACAGGCTAGACATGCCCTAAGCTCGTAAAAAAAAGAGTCTAAAGTCGTGAGCGCGACGCTTATTAGATGAGCGGGGGGACTCGCGCTGCTGTGAACCGGTTCCGCCCAAGGCCGGATTAACTGGGCAATTGCCCAGGGCCCACGAACTCTAAAGGGCCCAGGGCACGAGCACAATACTGTATCTATAATTTCCCGCTTTATGAGGACTATGGTGACCGTACGTTCTGTTTTCCCCGGACGTGTCCACTTTTCACTCTGTCCGGCGCGTCGGGACTGCGGGTTCTTGTATTGATGAAAATGTCCGGCTTTTCATCCAGGAGCAGGGATCGAATTATGGGGGAAATGGATATCCTACACATCCAGGGAGCCGGAAAAAGTTTTCTATATTATATCATTTTTGGACTCTTGAGCAGAGAGCAGCACAGCGCGTTGTTGTGCAGCGATCCAGGCAGCTGCGTCCAGCGCACGGTCCATTCTCAAAGTGGCGCAACCAAAAAACTATAATTAACACACGATCGTGCATGTCTGCACATGTTCTCTATTTTCTGTCTTATTTGTGCCTGAAGCGCTCTGCTACTGCGGAGCTCATCACCTGTGCTGCGGTGATGTCACCTCACGCAGCATCGAAAACGCGCTCTGCGCTTTACAGTCAGGAGATCCCTTTGATCTGCTCAGAAGTAACTGATGAGGTGAAAAAGTAAGAATCCAGGCAGCAGTTTTTCTGGAGAATTAAGAGGAGATGCAGGAAGATGAGAGACAGACAGGACAGGAAAATAGTTCAATAAAAACAAGAAAACAAAACTAAGTGTGGAAAAGTAAAATGTAGGTAGATTTATCTCCACTACACGTTTTTACCTATAAAACAATAAGTTACACACATGTAATATTTATACATTTGATACTATTCAGGTCACCTTCAACACTCAGTCACACACCCAGGGCCGTTTCAAGACATTTTGGGGGCCAAGGCAAAATGCCCCCCCCCCCCCCCCCCCCCATAACTGGGCTCCCCAGAAGCCTCTGTGTAATCCATACCCTCTCCAGTAGTGTTAGTTATACAGTGTTTATAAAAGCCCCTCAGACATTACTGACATGTTCTAATATTATCAGATGAAAAACTAAATTATCAGACATGCTGTCTCATCAGCTTCTTTTATAAACTTGCAGAAAGTAACAAAACCATCTGAAAGCCACTATTTGTGGATTCTCTGAAAGTTTCCATGGAGTGTGTGACAACTTATTTTTTCAGTCATTTTTGGAAATAGTGATCAATTTTGATTAATTCACAGCCTATGTTTAATTACATTTAAAAATTAGTTGTTTGACATCCCCAGTTATAATAAATGTCTACAGATGAAATCAAACAAAACAGATGAGAATTGCCCTAAAGCTGTTTAACTTGGACCAAGCATTTTAGGTCACAGATAGATGTAGCTTAGGGTCTCTGTCTATACACCTTATAAGACAATTTAGGTGATGGCATGTTGTTTTTCTGCTATTGAACTGTTTTCTAATAATGTTGTGTTAAATAAAGTGAAGGAAGGAGAGAAATAACGTTTCCCTAGCAGTTTTTAAAAATGTCCCCATGTAATTAATCGATTAATCGTGTCGAGACCCCATCCGATTAATCGATTATCCAAATAATCGTTTGTTGCAGCCCTACTGCTGACAGCAGGCTGCTGTCTTTTCCGAGGACTGCATCTTGTCGGTCATTATCACGTGACAGCGACTAGTCGATGACAGGCATAACAAGTCACTATAGAGCGGTGAAGTCAACTAGTTCATACAACCCCTAACAAAAACCTCATCAAGATTAAAAGGCCTGCACCTGTATACTGCCAGAGTCAGAGGACTCATTCATTCACACACACACACATTCACTCGCTGGTGGTGATGTGGCCACAGCTGCTCCGGGGCTCCCTGACAGAGGCTAGTCTGCCGTAGACAGACACCGCCGGCCCCTCCAACCACCACCAGCAGTGTCTTCTTGCCCAAGGACACAACCACTGACATGACAACCCACCAACTACAGGTGAACTCCTGGGCCACCGCTGCCCTAACTAGAGGCCACAAGGGACCACAAATCCTTTAAATCATTCAAGGATGTGCTGAGACGGTACTGTGCAGCCTGGAAACAGCCCAGTACCAAAAGCTGAAGGTACTGCTTAGAAGTGTACACACTAGGGACGCACCTGTAACGATACTAGTACCGAGTATCGTAACAGGTGCGTCCCTAGTACACACCACCGGTCAAAAACAAAAATCAGCTGTAGAAGCCACAAAGTAAGGACTGGACTCTGAATCTTCTCTTCATGTGTGGAGTTGGCGTGTTCTCTTCCTGAGTGCGTCGAGTTGGCGCGTTCTCATGTGTGCATGCGTGGAATTGGCGTGTTCTCTTCCTGCATGCTTGGAGTTGGCATGTTTTCATGCGTGCGTGCGTGGAGTTGGCGTGTTCTCTTCCTGCATGCTTGGAGTTGGCATGTTTTCATGCGTGCGTGCGTGGAGTTGGCGTGTTCTCCCCGTGCGTGAGTGCGTGGAGTTGGCATGTTCTCCCCGTTTGTGAGTGCGTGGAGTTGGCGTGTTCTCCCCGTGCGTGAGTGCGTGGAGTTGGCGTGTTCTCCCCGTTTGTGAGTGCGTGGAGTTGGCATGTTCTCATGCAAGCGTGCGTGCGTGGAGTTGGCATGTTCACCCCGTTTGTGAGTGCGTGGAGTTGGCATGTTCTCATGCAAGCGTGCGTGCGTGGAGTTGGCATGTTCTGCCCGTGCGTGAGTGCGTGGAGTTGGCGTGTTCTCCCCGTTTGTGAGTGCGTGGAGTTGGCATGTTCTCATGCAAGCGTGCGTGCGTGGAGTTGGCGTGTTCTCCCCGTTTGTGAGTGCGTGGAGTTGGCGTGTTCTCCCCGTTTGTGAGTGCGTGGAGTTGGCATGTTCTCATGCAAGCGTGCGTGCGTGGAGTTGGCGTGTTCACCCCGTGCGTGAGTGCGTGGAGTTTAGGGCTGAAACGATTTCTCGAGTACCTCGAATAATTCGAGTACAAAAAATCCTCGAGTCAAATTCTCTGCCTCGAGGATTCGTTTAATTCATATTTAATTAATTCATGGCTTTGCAAACGCACGGGGTCATGTTTCACCTGGACCGAAATAAGTGACGCACATGCCCACTGGACTGAATGCACACGCGAGTAGCGAATGTAACTCAACTTTCTCTTAAGCCATGGTGGACAACTTGAACCCCGGTGGAGCGAAAAAGACAGAAAAAGTCAAAGGTGTGGGACCATTTTTCACGTCGTAAGGTGGAAAACGTAGTCCAGTATAAATACTGTAAAATGGATTTAGCCTACCACAACACCACATCCTCCGTGCTGCAGCACCTGTAAATGTCACTTCTGCAAGCGGACTCGGAGCCTCTACAAGATAATGCTTATAGCCTGTATTTCTATGTATTCTGCAGATGCTGTGCGACTTTTTCGTTTGTAGCGCTCAGTTTCAGCTCACACCGTACGTCTGGTAGCAACACGTCGGACTTAAAATGTGCTAAAAAATATCAGTTTTTACACAACATGTCGGACTTTTTATTGTGTTGTTATTGATGTTTGTGTCCCTCGGGATTGCTGCAGGAGGACGCAGGTATTTATGAGAGGAAAACGAAAGAAAGTAAACAAATGTTGTGTGATCAGTATAATTGGACAAAACCACAGCAAACATGCTTTCTCGACAATCCTTGTTAGTGTGAGAAAAAAGTGTAGAAATTAAAACGAACGTGTTAATAAGGAAACAGCCGGCGAGCTGTTTGCGCCGTGAGCGGTTCTGGTTCTGTTTGGGCCGCAGCCGCTCGCAGCGCTACTTCAGCAGTTATCCTCCTAGTTTTTGTCTGGCTTGCAGGCTGGTAGATTCTCGCACGAGGGGAAAATCGGCTCAGGTTGTTTACTTATTTTTTGCACTGTGAAGTAAAGTTGAAGTGCTGAAGTTTTGCAAACTTAATTTTGAATAAAACTTGAAGAATAACTGGCAATTGCTTTCTCATTTTGAGAGGTCTTTCATATTTTATAACATGCTATTTGATATAATGGTTTACAAACACAAAAGGGTCATTTATTAGAGTACTCGATTAATCGAAAAAAAGATTCGATAGAGTACTCGATTACAAAAATATTCGATAGCTGCAGCCCTAGTGGAGTTGGCATGTTCTCATGCAAGCGTGCGTGCGTGGAGTTGGCGTGTTCTCCCCGTGCATGAGTGCGTGGAGTTGGCGTGTTCTCCCCGTGCGTGAGTGTGTGGAGTTGGCATGTTCTCATGCGTGAGTGCGTGGAGTTGGCGTGTTCTCATGTGTGCATGCGTGGAGTTGGCGTGTTCTCTTCCTGCGTGCTTGGAGTTGGCGTGTTCTCCCCGTGCGTGAGTGTGTGGAGTTGGCATGTTCTCATGTGTGCATGCGTGGAGTTGGCGTGTTCTCTTCCTGCGTGCTTGGAGTTGGCGTGTTCTCATGCGTGCGTGCGTCGAGTTGGCGTGTTCTCTTCCTGCATGCTTGGAGTTGGCATGTTTTCATGCGTGCGTGCGTGGAGTTGGCGTGTTCTCCCCGTGCGTGAGTGCATGGAGTTGGCATGTTCTCATGCGTGCGTGCGTCGAGTTGGCGTGTTCTCTTCCTGCATGCTTGGAGTTGGCATGTTTTCATGCGTGCATGCGTGGAGTTGGCGTGTTCTCTTCCTGCGTGCTTGGAGTTGGCGTGTTCTCATGCGTGCGTGCGTCGAGTTGGCGTGTTCTCTTCCTGCATGCTTGGAGTTGGCATGTTTTCATGCGTGCGTGCGTCGAGTTGGCGTGTTCTCTTCCTGCATGCTTGGAGTTGGCATGTTTTCATGCGTGCGTGCGTGGAGTTGGCGTGTTCTCCCCATGCGTGCGTGCGTGGAGTTGGCGTGTTCTCATGCATGCGTCCGTGCGTGGAGTTGGCGTGTTCTCCCTGTGCGTGAGTGTGTGGAGTTGGCGTGTTCACCCCATGCGTGCGTGCGTGGAGTTGGCGTGTTCTCATGCATGCGTTCGTGGAGTTGGCATGTTTTCATGCGTGCGTGCGTGGAGTTGGCATGTTTTCATGCGTGCGTGCGTGGAGTTGGCGTGTTCTCATGCGTGCGTGCGTGGAGTTGGCGTGTTCTCCCCGTGCGTGAGTGTGTGGAGTTGGCATGTTCTCATGTGTGCATGCGTGGAGTTGGCGTGTTCTCTTCCTGCGTGCTTGGAGTTGGCGTGTTCTCATGCGTGCGTGCGTCGAGTTGGCGTGTTCTCTTCCTGCATGCTTGGAGTTGGCATGTTTTCATGCGTGCGTGCGTGGAGTTGGCATGTTCTCCCCGTGCGTGAGTGCATGGAGTTGGCATGTTCTCATGCGTGCGTGCGTCGAGTTGGCGTGTTCTCTTCCTGCATGCTTGGAGTTGGCATGTTTTCATGCGTGCATGCGTGGAGTTGGCGTGTTCTCTTCCTGCGTGCTTGGAGTTGGCGTGTTCTCATGCGTGCGTGCGTCGAGTTGGCGTGTTCTCTTCCTGCATGCTTGGAGTTGGCATGTTTTCATGCGTGCGTGCGTCGAGTTGGCGTGTTCTCTTCCTGCATGCTTGGAGTTGGCATGTTTTCATGCGTGCGTGCGTGGAGTTGGCGTGTTCTCCCCATGCGTGCGTGCGTGGAGTTGGCGTGTTCTCATGCATGCGTCCGTGCGTGGAGTTGGCGTGTTCTCCCTGTGCGTGAGTGTGTGGAGTTGGCGTGTTCACCCCATGCGTGCGTGCGTGGAGTTGGCGTGTTCTCATGCATGCGTTCGTGGAGTTGGCATGTTTTCATGCGTGCGTGCGTGGAGTTGGCGTGTTCTCATGCATGCGTTCGTGGAGTTGGCATGTTTTCATGCGTGCGTGCGTGGAGTTGGCGTGTTCTCCCCGTGCGTGAGTGCGTGGAGTTGGCTTAGAACATGGAGCCCTGACCACCTCCAGCACTCACCTGGGCCAGGTGGCCTTACCCATGAATACAACAAACTAAAACCGAGCTGGGGACAACCTGCTCTGCCTTGTGAGAGGGCAGATTATGTGACTGCTGATGTCAGCAACACCTGAGGACAGGTGTCAAGTGAGCCGTTTAATGGTTCATGGAAATCAGCTGATCTCGTCACACATTCATGAAACAGGAGGGAGGGAGTCCTGATTCAGAACTTCATCCGCATATTGGGACTTTTGGGATTATATTAGGAGGCCAGGAGCAGCAGGATTATGTTGATTCAACCTGTTGCTCACCTGTGAACACTTCAAGACAAAAGTCAGGTGTCTTAACAGCGGTTCAAATCCGTATGAGAACCCAGAGCGGAGGTTCTGACTTAGCTCGGTCCAACAACAGATTTACCGGAACCGAACTGAAGCCAGATTGAACCTGATTATAGTGAGACTGAGACAGTCCAAGCAACCGTGTTTGAATTTCTCACCTGGACCCGGTTACAGGTGAGAAGTCCTGCGTCCGATAATGGGACTCGTTAGCTTAGCCGATGTTAGCTGCTCTCAGTAAAAAGCGAAACAACACAACCAGCCTGCCACACCTGACTCACCTGCTCTGTAGTCACGGTCCAGGAGCCCCGAGCTGTTTGCTCAGCGGCACTCCGGTAGAATCCCGTTGGCAGGTAAGCCAAAACCCGCGACTTTCTAACGGAGCCGCAGAGCCACAGGAACCACGTGACCTGAGCTCCACTTTCAAAGTAAAACGTGTCAGATACGCAAAAGGAAATGATTGAAACCTTCAAAATAAGACTTCAAAATATAAACGGATCAAGATCGTTTCTGTGGTTAGTTCAAGGACCACCCCCACGGTTGGATGAAACAGTTTCAGAAAGTTGTGTTACACGTGTAAGCTCAGCTTCTGGTTCTGGTCGTACTTTGTGTTTTATGCGTGTTCACTCATTCATCCTCTGAAACACTCATGCCGGAGTTGGTTCACTGAGCGCGATCCAGCTGCGTTAGTCACCAGGTGGAGACAGATGGAGGACTCCTGGACAGGATTCTGTACACAGGTGCCACCGGTCCCTCCGACCACCACCGGCAGGTGAGGAGGGTGAACGAGGAAAACTGATTCTGGAGCCAGAGAGCCATGCATCCAGGTGAGTCCAACCACCTGGCAGAACCCCTCAACCTGACACACCATCTCACACACTTTCCCCGCCAGGAAGATGATGTTTCACGTGCCGAGAGCTAGCTTCTGTAGGCGAGGATCAGGCCTTCTGCCACCACCCCAACTTCTTTGGCCCCTCCCCCTAGTGGTGAGCCCATGGGAAGGTGGACAGCTGAGCTCCATCAGTAAAAGCCCTGCTGGACCGGACCGTTGCTGACCCCCGTCCTGCTGAGGAAGCCCTATCCATCAATGTTTATCTTAGTAAGGGGTCTTTGGAGCGCACTTTGCACACAATTAAATGTTTCAGACATGCTGCAAGCGTCTCCGGCAGACCCAGAACTGAAGAAACGTGCATATGCTGAAGACAAAGTAGGTGTGCAACTGAGAACATTTCATCACTGATGCAGCTGAAGTTCAGGACAACTGGGGGACCCCAGGATCTAGTGGGTCTGGACCATTTGGGGCAAGGCTTCTGTCTTTGTTTCCATGGTAACACTGAGCCCACAGCTTCATCGGTTCTGCTCCAGATATCCAGAGTCAGCAGTGGATCACGTGACCTTCAGTGCTGATGATGTGAGGGTGAAGCATGAAGGTCACAGTCACGGGAATGTCATCAGGAGCAGGGAACATACATTATGTTTCACCAAGATGGAAACCCAACATTCAGCCGAACCATAATGATGGTGGCACCATGAAGGGTAGCCCGACGATTGGATCAGAAATCAATTCTGGTTCTGCTGAGCAGATAAAGCTTCATCCATGGGTCTCTAACTTCCTCGTTCTCCTTCAGCCGGCAGAACTTCACCTGCTGAGCTTTTGGCATAACCCAGAGCAGAGGGGGCGGGGCTAACCTGGGCAGCAGTCCAAACCCAGAGACACGGGAACGTCCAGTATCCCATATGTCCTCAAACTCCACACTGTCTGTTCTGATCAGTAACCGGGTCAGAGCGCCCCTGAGGGTTTGACCCAGAGACTTGTTGACAACAGGACAGAGAGGGGGGGACATAGGAGCAGAGGGACAGGAGCTAAGTACGGAGAGGAGATCTGATTGGTGTTTGGGGACTCGGGTCTAGTTCAGACCAACTTCACTACAAACTCACCAAGGTCAACAGAAAAACTGCAGGAACCAATCAGAACAGAGCATCAGTTGGTTGGGTGCAGTGATTGGCTGTTTACTTTAGAGATTTATTTCAGACCTCCGTTTGTTTAACTTCAGTTTAGTTTCATTACTACTTCTAATTTATTACATTTTAATTATGATCGCTTGTTTTTATATGAAGAAGTGGTTTGTTTGTTTGTTTGTTTGTTTGTTTAGTTTGGGGCGACAGTGCCACAGGAGTTAAGCGCTTGCCCTGTAATCGGAAGGTTGCAGGTTTGAGCCCCGCTCAGTCTGCCGTTGTGTCCTTGGGCAAGACACCTAACCCACCTTGCCTGCTGGTGGTGGTCGGAGGGACCGGTGGCGCCTGTGCTCGGCAGCCTCGCCTCTGTCAGAGCGCCCCAGGGCAGCTGTGGCTACATCGTAGCTCATCATCACCAGCGTGTGAATGGCTGATTGCAGTCTAAAGAGCCTTGGGGGGTTCCAGGACTCTAGGAGAAATGTATCAAATACAGGCCATTTATTTGTTTGTTTTTGTTTATTTGTTTTGTTTGGAGTTTTTATTATTTGGTTCAATTTAACATTTTAAATACTTTTTTATAAGAAAACAAACTAAATCAGAATAAAACTAAACTAAATGACACATATGGAGCAATCATTAGTGAGAACCTGATAGAGAACAGCTGGTCAGGGCGGGGGGAGGAGCTTGCAGCTACAGGAGGAAAGGCTTCCGCCTGAGCTGACCCTGAATCAGCTGGACCCACATATGAAAACACACAGACTCCACGCGGTCCGGTCAGAGGTGAGGAAACGTCCCGGATCGATCCGCTTTCACTGACATGAGGCGTCTGAGCAGCGTTTGGCTGAGGAAGTGTAAGGACAAGGACAGATGGATGGAAAGAAGGACAAGTGAGCCTTCAAGGGGTGGAGAAGAGGAAGAGGACGAAGAGAAGACAGACCTGAGACAAAGACAGACCCACAGGCAGATGCTTAGGACCTCTGAGCCATGTGGACAAATCGACAGAGATGAAAAGACCGAGAAGAAAAAGAATGAGAGGAGAGGGTCTGAGTTCATGATGGAGGAGGACAGGAGGAGGATGGAGACGAGTAGAGGGACACAGCAGAGAAAGTCTACATCCTGTTTCTTGGTGGAGGATCCAGCTGAAGTTGGTAGGAAGACAGCGAGGCGCCGGTCAGAGCCCTGTGGTGTCCTGCAGGTCCAGGTTCTTCCTGTTTCCTGCAGGAAGAGATGGACAGGACGCAGAATGTCCTGTAACGAGGAGGTGAACAGGAGACAGGGGGACAGTCATGTAACCAGGAGGACATCCTCATCAAACAGTAAGACACACACATGGTTATCCATCCCCATGGTAACCAGCTGAGCTCTGTCCATCAGCACAGAGCTTCTTACCATTCAGTAGAAGAGCTAGCAGGGGTCTGAAGGACGCTACAAACCACCTTCACCTGGTTTAACTCCAACTAGTTAACCCACCACAGCGGGCCCTGTCTCGCTCTAGCCCAGACTGAAGCTCCGCCCATTCACTAAGGGGACAAGCGTGCTCTGTACCAGGCTAGCTGCAAAGCTTCTTAAGCTGGGTGAATATGATTGGACGAGACGTGATGTCACAGAGGACCTCCATCTTAGAATGATGAGACATAATTCAGTTAGACGTTTAAATGATATAGTTGACCCGCACTCGTATCGCACGTGGCTACAGCCGCTGCCCAGGGGTGCACAGGCACCAGCAGGTAGGGAAGGTTAGGCGTCTTGCACAAGGGCACAACAGTAGAGTTCTCTGCCAGGAGCTGGGATCGAACCTGCAACCTTCGGATTACTGGACAACCCGCTCTACTTCCTGAATAATTTGGCCACCAAGAAAATAGCTGAAGCTGCTGCATCCGCTGTGGACCAGAGGTGGCGCCAATGCAAAAGGGACGTAACATGCCTCGTCCAATCATATTCACCAAGCTTCAGCAAGCCTGCCTCCAGCACGTGTTCCCATGGTGAATGGGAGGGGCTTCAGGATAGCCTTGCTTCTGAAACCAGAGTAAATCTGTGTTCCAGCTCACCTGCTCGTGCATCCATGAGATTTCTGACTGACGGGAAAAGTAAGCCGCTCTACTCTCCACGGTGAATCGGTGAATCTGTGATCGGCTGCAGGGTCTGTCTGAGGGAGCCTAAAATGAACCCGTGTCTGCTCATCTTGGCCCGGTCTTTGTTCAACCAGTGAAGGCTGGACTCTCTTGTACTCTCAGCTCAGCCACTAATGCTGGATTAATTAATTCAGCATTTGTGCAGGGGGGCCCTGGTTAACACACCTGAGTCCAGGTTTTATTTGAACCTGGTGTAGCTCTGACATGAGCCCTTGTTGCACTGCCTAGAGCCGCCTGACGTGTACTATGGCGCGGTATGGGGGCCAAAATTAAGACTACTGCCCAGCAGCAGGAGGCTATATAAATTCTGAAGTAAACTACCGACTTGATTAATGATAAGCTGGCGCCGGTAACTGAGAGGCTGGTGCTGCTTACTGAGGAATAGCACCTTTACAGGCGTTATTACTACATACACTAGGGACTAGCAGCCCTCGGCTGGTCATTGACTGGTTCACACTCCCTCTGCTGTCTATTAGCATGGATAGGCTAGCGTTAGCCTGGACAGGCTTGTGTTAGCATTGGAGAGGCTAGCCATTAGTGTGCCTAGGCTGGCCACTAGCTTTCTAGTGACTCTCTGAGACATGCTAATGGCTAGCCTCTCCGATGCTAACACCAGCCTATCCTCCGTCGAGGAGGTAGGAAATCCAGCTAGTGGCCAGATGAGTCTGCAGAGGGAATAGTAAAATTAATACAAAGCTCTCTAGAAAACGTGGGGCTATCCCTAGATCAGGTTTCTGCATTCAGTGCTGACAATGAAAATGTCAATTATGGCATCCACAACTCAGACTTCATGGCATCTGTCATGCACATATTGTCCATAACACTGAGAAAAAAGCCCTGGACACGCTCTCAGTTGATGTGGAAAATATTGTCCCTAAGATATACAGCTTCTTTCCACCTCTGCCAAAAGGAGAGAGACCCGAAGGAGTTCTGTGAATTTTGTGACGTTGAATTCCACGAAATCCTGCGCCATGTTGTGACGAGATGGCTGTCACTCAACCCTGCAATCACCCGCCTTCTGCAGAACTGGGACCCGCTGAAGTCGTATCTCATCAGCATTGGTCAGGAGTGTCCAAGGCGCCTGAAGGAATTGCTGAAGTTGACAGAAGATGCTGCTGGAGTTGAAGGAGAGGCAGACATTGTGGAGGTCTACCTCCTCTTCTGTAATAATATCATGTGTCTGTTTGAAGAAGTGGTGAAAAAACTGGAGAAGAATGTTGCCACATGTGGACCTCTATTCCATCATGGACTGTTTCCTGAACAGACTTATTCAGAGAAGAGATGATGGCTTCTACGGGTACCTAACAAGACAGAAACTCCAGCGTCTCTCGCCATCCGATACTGAAGGTGCCAGGCAGGAGTTTACAGCCTTCCTAGACACGGCCATCTGCTATGTCAGGAAGTGGTTTGACTTCTCAGAAGAAAACTGGCTCTTCCACCTGCAGCCCCTCTCTCTATCATCTGGGAAGATCTTGTTTGATGTCATGGAGAACATCATTGAGTGGCTTCACCTGGTTGGCAGGTAGGAAGGAAACACTTGCTAGAGATACGATAAACCATGTTTTAAAATGAATGATGGTTACAGATAACTAAATGGAATTGATAACATGTACAACTAAAACTATAATCAATAACTTTGGAGTATATATATATATATACATACAAACATGCAGTCTTTTATACACTATTTTACAAATTCAGACAGTTCATATACTTAATATAAGGATGGATAAATACATAATAAATGAAGTCAGCTATTGTATAGTATAAATGCTATACAATGCAATAAATATACAATAAATGTTTTCCATGTATTTACCACTGTAAGTGTTCTATGTGGTGCTTATAACCCAGGTTTACTTCTTATCTCCATTGGCAGGTTAAACATCTCTATGGGTGAGCTTTATGACGAGTGTGTCACTGCAACCAGCCTTCTAGAGCCCCTCACCAAAGGACCTCAGGAGAAGGAAAAGTGGCAGTTCAAGGGAACAGCAGTGGATGGAAATTCTTCAGGCAGCTGACCTCCCCAACATCCAGCCTGTTGTATCCTTTGTACTCAGCATCCCATCTTCCACTGGGTTTGCAGAGAGGATTTTCTCTCTCGTGAAGAATAAGTGGACTGATGTGCGGAACAAATGTTATGTTGTGTTGTCTGAAGTCTGTTGCATATCTGTCTGAGGTGTTTTTTGCAGAGCAAAGCTGCCCTCCCTGTGGAGGGTATCTCTGAAGTGCCTTTTTTCCCTCCATCTGAACCCATCCTCATGTAACCCTCTTAGCTCTATTAAGGTAGCGCGACTCAGGGTTGCGAATGACCACAGTCACCAATTCTTGTCATGTGTCTTGCCCATGTATGTCTGATCTCTGAATTGTGTGTACTGAAACTCTAATCTCCCTCTGGGATTAATAAAGTATCTGTGATTGATTGATTGATTGATTGATTGATTGATTGATTGATTGATTGATTGATTGAGTGAGTGATTGATTGATTCTACTGAATTAGATGTGAGCTCATTGTCACTCTAAATTATGACATGTCTTGCTCAGTTTTACTCTGCAGTACTGAAAGACAAACAACTCCTAAATGCAGCAAGACCTCAAAAGAAATACAAATGGAGGAAATAGTCTGTTTTCACATAATGTAGCACTGAGCTTTTGAGTTCATGAGTTTGGGCTTTTTTTTTTTACTTCAACTGTAGGCTACAGTCAAGGCCTTTGAGGCACAAATATGTTTACAGCTTCTCCAGACTTTCTGTTTGCACTTTTCTAATTACACTAAATGTGCACTGTTAGAGTTGTGTTCTTGATAGGGATGCACCGATCAGGTTTTTTGCTGCCGATCACCGATACCGATCACGTGGATTGGCCAGAAATTTTCTACAACATTATAATGAGTGCTACAAAGTACATAATCTGGGAATAAAGGGAATGTAACCTAATCTAAAATGGTCTGTATTAGGGTTGTCACGGTGTGAAAATGTAACCTCACGGTTATTGTGACCAAAATTACCACGGTTTTCGGTATTGTCGCGGTATTTTTTTAAACGTGCTACATTTTCACACGATTAAATAAACCCTGTATGTCAGGAAATATTGTCCTCAGTTTGTGTCTAAATTTAGCCTAAAATGTGTTATTTTGTAATTATGTTGTTTATTTGTTTACATTTTTCCCCTTTAGTCTTTAAAATACCAATATTTGCCCATAACTTCTTATTTTATGTCTGTTTGATGTCATCATTTAAAAATATTACATCAGATGATACTCAGTACTCAAGTAGCCTTCTAATCAGATACTTTTTTACCCTTACTTGAGTAATAAACCCTATATCAGGAAAATATCGTCCTCGGTTTGTGTCCTTCCAGTGAGCTTTGCAGATGTGGGAAAATGTCATCAGGCAGTAATCATTGTTAAATTCATAATTATTCTCGGAGAGAGACCAACTCTCATCTGCCCCTGGGAGCCCCGTAATGCATAGCGTCATTTCAACATGGCGGTGTCCGCGACACGGTTTATATGCAGGTAGCGGCGCTGCGGCTGCTTTATATAGCGACTCGTTGCATTCTCCCTCACCCAAATCCTCGGATCACGCATTTTAGCTAAAACGCTAACGTTAGCTTGCCTTGCGTTGACTGTAGAGTTGTGGGTGATGGTCACGCAGATGTGTCATGAGATTTGAAGCGTTGCTGCCTTTCACAGACACTTTTTCTGCTCGTGCTGCAAACAGGATAGCCGTCTTCTATCAGCTGTTCCTCGGCATTCTTCACATATCCAAAGATGCCCGTACTTCCCACTTTGTCTTCTTTGAGGGATAATAAATGTCCCGAGCGCTGCCGTCTCCTCCTTTGGCCATTATTTCAGCTTTAGCTTCAAGAAAGTTTTGTTGTAAACAACAAAGTGCGCATGTGCCGCCGGCAACTTCAGCAGATGATACGGTGGCTGGTAAGGGTCACCGCGCCTACACCGCAGCCACGCTAATCCACCAAGATAATATAGTTTTTTAAAAACAAGACGGTTATTATTATTGTCAACTTTTTTTTTACCGGGGTTTACCGCTACACTGGTTACCGTGACAACCCTACCTGATCGGTCTGCTTTGATCTATTTGAAAATTCCAATCAAAACCGAAAGGGGAGCTATCGGCCGATTACGATCAAATGCCGATCCATCGGTGCATCCCTAGTTCTTGATGGTTGGGGTTTATTGGAGAAGAAGAAACCATTTTTATAGCACCTCTCAAGATGAAATCACGAGGCTCTTCACAAGAACAAACATAAATAAATATGGAAATGATTTTGACTAAACTCAGTTTAACTTCAAACTGGAAAATGAGAAGGAGGACACAACTGCAGAAGAAGACGGGAGTAGAGGCAGAACGGTCAGAAACCGCAGTGTGAAGAGAAGGCGGTCCGTTTGTTTGTAGGACAGGGATTTAAACCGGACGCTGGGGGTGCTAAAGCAAGCCTGGACTGTCCCGGGTTCCTTTAGGCCTGCAGCTGGTTTCTGCAGTGAGACCAGTTTGCAGGGTTCTGCTCCTCACTGGCGAGTGTTGAAAGTTCAGGAAAAGGAGGATCATGTGAAAACAAACCTGATCCTGTTGTTGCTGTCAGCTCCAGCTCAGCCGCGCCCCACACTCGGCCCATCTGCCCCGCGTGTCGGTGTGTATCACTTCACCGGGTTCTAATCTCCTTGTGCTTCGCCGTGTTCTGTCCAACCGATCACACTTGAGTCATCACGCTCCAGGAAACCAGCTGAAGGTTTTCTCTGGAACTGATCTGGGATCAGGCTGAGGTGAGTTTAACTCCCATGTGAGAGGAAACCTGAGCAAGTAAACCACCTCAGAGCAAAGCTGCTGCTGCTTTCACTGACATCCTGTCATTTGTACTCTCATCTGCCCCTGAAGCTGTCCTTCAGATTTGTCCTTGTTTCACCCTTGTTGTCATGGAGACTGCTGTGGTTTTTGGAGCAGCTCAGCCGAGATGGATCAGTCACGGAGGAAGTGATGATTGATGCTCCTGGACCAACATGGCTGGCCTAGACTAAACAGGGGGTGTTTCTCAATGTCAAAGAACCTTGCCTTGATGTCATGGCCCCGCCCCGGTTGCCTAGGAGATATGTCATCAGGAACCGCCAAGACGTGTTCCAGTGTTCATGTTCTACCGAGGCGTGTGTTCTTTTATACGTATTAGTTTCAACATAAATATATAATGAACCTTTTACTTTTTAAATTGTGTTTATGTTTACTAAATGACAAATATAAGTGAGTTACTACCCGCTAGCCACCGAAGCTGCAACTACTAAGCTACTAACCAACCATAGATAATTTCTTTGGATCTAAAAAAACATTTTAAATTAGTTGACTTACCTTTAAACTTGAAATTTGTCCTGAAGTAGCTGCCGGCTTCTGATCTGCCGTCCTTTTGAAAAATCTGCGGTGTATTCTGGGTAATTTTTGACCAAGGCTAGGCTACAAGACACCTCCCGTGTATCCTTGCTCAGCTAGCTAAACGGCTAACAAATGGAGAACACGCCTCGGTAGAACATAAACATTGGAACACGTCTTGGCAGCTCCTGATGACGTATCTCCTAGGCAACCGTGGGGGGGGGGGGGGGGGCAAGACATCAAGGCGAGGCTCCTTGACATTGAGAAACACCCCGAGCCTTGATGGAGAGCACTTCCTGCATCAGTCAGGGAGATCTGTGATGGGGTTTCAACTGAGTTTACAATCAGCCTGTAGAGACCTACTTCAGATCAAAGATTCTAGATGGAGGGAGCCTTGGGCTCCTCCCCTTCCAATGGAAGATTCCGTATCTGGTTCAATAATGTCGTGTGGTCAGACGCATTTGTAGTCCTACACGTCTTTTCACACAAACCTAAAATAACATTTGCCCCCGTTTGACAATAAGCGCGTTGTGTGTGTGTGTGTGTGTGTGTGTGTGTGTGTGTGTGTGTGTGTGTGTGTGTGTGTGTGTGTGTGTGTGTGTGTGTGTGTGTGTGTGTGTGTTCTGTCTTCTCCATCCCCAGTGAGTCGTGGAGGATGGCTGCTTATACTGAGCCAGGATTCTCTGGAGGTTTCTTCCTGTTAAAAGGGAGTTTTCCTCTCCACTGTCACTGCATGCTTGCTTAGTGTGAGGATTGCTGTAAAGACTCTGACACTAGTCAGTGACTCGATGCAACCTGCTGGGTTCCTTATATAGGAAACTTGTTACTGACTGGCTTAATGACCTATATTGTTTACTGTGTGGAGGTCCTTGAGATGACTCAATGATGTGGAGCTGTAGAAATAAACTGAATTGAATTTCTCTCCTCCTCCTCCTCCCTGCAGCCAACAGCCTGTCTTCCACTACTCCACTTGCTCCTCCACCCACTTATCAGAAGGAGTTCAGTGGTTTTGAGCTGGAGACATACCTCACGGAGCCACGGCGTCCAGAGACCAGGAGGCTGCGCTCATTCTCCTCCCCACCTGATCCTGGACTGGGAGCCTTCCAAGTCTCTTCTTTCTCCTCCACCTGCAGCCAGCCACCTCCTCAGGCTCCACCCATGTTTGCGTCTCCATCTATGAAGAGGCTGGTGAGTGTTGGTTTGGACAGCACTGTGTGCAGGTTCCAAAGGGACAGACTAGAGAAGAGATTACAAGCCACAAACCAGAGGAGAGGAGTTGACTAGTCGGGGACTACAGGAGAAGTGATGTAATGTCCACGCCTTGTTTGGCAAGAGAGTCTGCAAGGTCGTTCAGATCCTTATCAGTTCCAGGTGCACAAGAATGTCCTTTGACTTTACGCCAATAAATGTTCATGTCATGTGCCGTCACTAGGGCATCACAAGCCATGAAGAGGCCCTGATGTTTAACAGGCTTCCGATTAGAGATTTGGAACCCGTTACTCTTCCAAGAAGGTAGATGACAAATGAAACTGAGACGCGCGTAGTCTGAGTCAGTGGAAATCACTAGCTCACGGACCCCACGGTCCACAGCAAGGTGTAGTACTATCAAAATCCCAGCCACTTCTGCAAATTGTGAGGTCTTAGGACCCAACCAGTAACATCGGGAGTCCTTCTGGTCAGCGTTCAACCAGACGACACCCACGCCTGCCCTAGGCGCAGCACCGTGTCGAAAAGAACTGCCATCAATGCACACGGTCGGCAAGCCCACACAGAGAGACTGATCGAAGTAGTGAAGGTTGGGGTTTAGAAGAGTCTGAGGAGGGCTAGCTGGCAGGACTGACGCGACAGCGTCATCCGAGCAGTGTTGGCACGCAGCCAAACCCATGCCAAGAGGGCTACGGCGGTTCTGGGCGTAGCGTACTTCGATGTCGAAGCTTTGACGAACCAGCAGCCATGACGCGATTTGCGCATTGGTCACCACACCATCTCTAATGTGCTGACTGTTAAGGAAGGTCGCTGGCTGGTGCTGAGTCTCAATGATGATTTTCTGTCCACCGATGTAGCTAGAAAATGTTTCACCGCCCACATGGTGGACAGCAAAACTTTTTCACAGCCAGAGTACTTCAACTCAGGACCGGACAAGAGCTTACTAGCATAGGCTACAACACGCCTGTCGCAGTCATATACTTGGTAGAGACCAGCACTCAAACTGTGAGCTGAGAAACCGACCTCAAGGTGGAACTCCTTGTCACAATCGGGGAGCGCCAAGCACGGAGCTGAGCATAACGCGGCCTTCAGGTCATCCATGGCCTGTTGCTGCTGCTCAGTACACTCGAAAGGCACATCCTTCCTCAGTAGATTAGTCAGAGGTCTCGCTATCTCAGCGTAATGTTCTACGAACAAGCGCGAGTAGTTGCACACACCTAGGAAGCTCCGAAGTTCAGAGACGTTCGTAGGAGGTGCGATGGTGGCCACACCTTGAATTTTGCCAAGTTGAGGCTGCACTCCCTGTGGTCCCACTAGGAGGCCAACTAACTGAACTTGTGACATGCACCACTGACCTTTGGTGAGAGAAATCTTTGCACCTGCAGCTGCGAGCTGACCCATGACGTGGTCCAGCTCGGACAGGTGGTCATCCAAGGTACGCTTACGAACAAGAATGTCGTCGACATAGATGAGGGTACCTCACTCTCGAGCATCAGGGCAGGCTTTGTCCAAGAAGATTTTGAACTCAGCTGGTGAGTTGGAATAACCAAAAGGACACAGAGTGAAGGTGTACTGGTGGTTGGCAAAGGAGAAGGCTCGTTTGTGTTGGTCCGATTTATGGACAGGAATTGTCCAGAATCCAGACGCAATGTCAAGGGTGGAGAAGTATTTAGCATCTTTCACTTTTGGAAGTTCTTGTTCCAGGCGCGCCATCGGCCACCTAGACAAGGGAACCTGTTTGTTGATTTGCCTGTAGTCAATGGTTAGTCGCCACTCACCATTAGGCTTCTTTTATGGCCACAATGGAGCCGAGTAGGTGCTGTTGCAGGGTCGGCTGATCCCTTTAGCCAAGAGACTTCCAATGATTTCCTGGACTGGTCCGTGGGACGCCAGGGGAATCTTGTATTGACCCACAAAAGTCGGCGCAGCGTGTGGCAGTGTAGGAATCCTGACCTCATGGATAGAGGTTAGACCACAGTCCAAGGAGTCGAGTTAAGGAAAGTCTTTGTATTTTAACAAAAGTTGTTGTAGTTTGTCTCGCTCGACATCGTTGGTAAGAGCATCTGCTTAGTCCACAACCTGTTCAATCTGAGACAGAACATCAGAGGGAGTCTCTGATGGCTTTGAGCTCGGCAGTGAGCATGCGGTTTCCCTCCGCTCAGGACCACTTACCGCAAGGCAGTGTGAGTCAGGGAAAGAAGGTGGAGTGAACGGTCGAGGTCTTCTAACACCTGCCCTCAGTTCTCCGTCTCCAATGTCGATAAAAGCGTCCTAGCACTTCAAAAGATCGATACCTATGAGCAAAGGCATGGTCCCACTCTCACAGTTGTACACGGGGTGTGTCAAGCTCATGGGCCCGATCGTGAACTGGAGCAGAGTCTTAGAAGACAAGAGCACTGTAGAATCAGAGAAATCACGGATAGTTAATGCACAGGGAATCAGTTCTGGAGGGCGCCCCCCCCCCCCCCCCCCCCACATCCAAGCAGACATGGCCATAAAGAGACTTGCTCATGATAGTAAAATCTGAACCTGTATCTAAAAGTGCGTTGCAGGGGAGCACCTGTTGCAAAATGACATCTACTGTGGCAGGAGCGGTCCCAGCAGTATTTCATCAGGCTCGACACCAGGGGGCGACGGGCCACTGTCCGTGGGGGTGTCACTTATCATCAATGTGGATGGAGTGAATTACGAGGTGTTGAGGGTTTCCTGTAATTCAGAGCCAATTAAAACATCCGATTGCAGCGTTCTCATTTTATCTGGCAGATCAGCAGAACACAGGGTTGCCGCCCCTCCCACTTGAAAATCATTTCCAAAATCTCAGATTTCTGTGACTTCCTGTTGCAGATTGAAAAGCTGCGATTTTATGCTTCTCATCTCAGCAAGCTGCATATCTTTCAGTTCAGAAAGTTGCAGTTGAAACTCATTTCTCATCTGTAGAATGAGGGATGTTAAATGGTTAATTTCCTCTGAACTTATTTTAATACCACCAGTCCTTTAATTTGTTATAAAATTAATGGAAGCTGAATAAGAAACAGTTCTTACCGGTTGATTGTAAATTAGCTTTGTTACAGGAGAAATTTTTGTGTTTTGAATGAACATTCAGGCATAACAGTAATGACCCCGAAATGTCACTCTACTGACCTTACCACAAATGCCTGGTCGAGCTGCGTGGTCTTACCAGGCAAGATGGCGATTTGGTGCGCAAGCGCCGTCCGTCCACTGGCGGTGGCTCAAATGCTACCGAGGTCCGTTTCTCACACCGAAGTGTTAAAAATGCTGCTAAATCAACTCGAACGAAGCAAATTTTTATCCCTTTGTGGGTAGCGGATTTAGAAGACACGGGAGCGCTGTGTCGATCGATTTTCAGCTACGGTTTGCAACTCTGTTTTTGCCGAAATCGAAAGCTAAGCTTAGCAGTTAAGCGCTAAGCTAGCGGGACCTGTCAGCTGAATCAGGCGATTTTGTCCAATTCTGCAGTAGAACTGGCCGGCGCGAATAATCGAACGTTCGTGAGTATTCGTATTAATATTCGGCCTAATTTAGCGTGGACAATTCGTATTGCCCGGAAGCTATTCCATTTAAGAAGCTTATATTTAGCAGCTATTGCTAAGCAGCTCAACGGGGCTGACTACCGATCAAATCGGCAATCTGGAAGCGAACTCCCGGTGGAGATCTCTATCTCTATTACACAAGTTATCACACAGTGTCACGAATTACTCCAAAAACATATTCAAACATATATTTACATGCAAGATGACAGAAGGAAAAAATGCGTTCTTTGCTAGAAACTCCAATGGTTGTAGGTGGAATTAAAATGGCTGTGTATGACGTCAGACTTAGATGAAGAGAGATGGATCAGCGCCTCCTTGTTTTAAATGGAGATGCTGCACTCTAGTGGCGCAGTACGAGATCGTCCCGTTTTCAACCAGAAACATAAGTTTGTGTTTTACTGTTTAAAAATGTCTCAGAATGAGCACGAAGTGTTCATAATGTGCAGATATCAGCCTATGGCTCGCCATTCAGTAATGATTTAAATTACATGTTATTTAATGAGCCATAAGGCGTAGGATTCCATAGGAAATATGAAATCCACCTTATGGATCTGTGAGGTTATTTTAAACCAGAAGATTGGAACTTTTTAATGCAGGGATTAGATAACAGCTTGGTATTCACTTAGAGACAACAGAAGAGAGAGAGTCAAGTTTAAAAGTTAAGAATTTTATTACTAACAAATTAAACTAGACTAACTTTAAACACTACATGTATGGTGTAACTAAGCAGGATGAGACGGTGAATGGATGACGTGTGATGCTCAGAACAAGCAAATCCGAAGAAGCGATTAGTTCTGATGGGAACTGAAGGTGATGTCTTTGCGTTAAGCTTTGATTAGGAGATTCATAAACACATTCGACGCCATTTGTCGGTCTACCTACCCTTCGTGGAAGCCCCTGTTAGATCAGGAATGTCGAGGTCCAGCTTGACCTTTTCTGAACCGCAGCCGGTAGGAAAAGCAACAGTTGCCGGCCAGACCCGTCTGTGAGATGCTCCCGGGTCACGACAATGTTAGCGTCTGGTGAGACCCTAGCCTGGGTCTTGATGGTTCAGCTTTTATTCTGAAAGGAACCATTGCAGCAGTTTGAGCAGCAAAGAATATTCCAGCTTGTCGTTTAGGGCTGCAACAAACAATTATTTGGATAATCGATGAATCGGATGGGGTCTCGACACGATTAATCGATTAATCGGATTACATAGGGACATTTTTAAAAACAGCTAGGTAAACGTTATTTCTCTCCTTCCTTCACTTTATTAAACACAACATTATTAGAAAACAGTTCAATAGCAGAAAACCAACATGCCATCACCTAAATTGTCTTATAAGGTGTATAGACAGAGACCCTAAGCTACACCTATCTGTGACCTAAAAAGCTTGGTCCAAGTTAAACAGCTTAAAGAGCAAGTCACCCCCTACCAGAGTCTAACTC